AGTTGTAGCTTCGGCCCCCTGGAAGGAAAGTGCCCAAGAAGTCACGATAGAGCACTTCGCGTCCGCCATGCCATCATGGACCCAAAAGTGCGACGGGGAGTCGAAGCTCCGTCAGCCAGCTTTCATGCTCAGGGTTTGTGAAAGACCCCGTCGCCCCTAAGCAAGGGCACAATGAGGATGACTACTCAAGGTAGAATTTGCCTTGCCTCGTTTGTTTGGCGGTCTTTCGGTCTGCCTGTGCACGCCTGCATGCTCGCATACTGTGGCAGCGACGGAAACTTTCACTCGACTTCAAAAGACATAGCAGTGCAGGCAGGGCCACAGCAGGAAAAAATGACGATTACCCCCACAAGGCCTCGCGACAGGAGGCAGAACAGACAGTGGCAAACGAGCTCAACGCGAGCGGGCATCTTCACCGAGATTCGGGTCAGAATTCTTCTGTGAGCGATACTGCTGGTCTTTGAGGCTGGTATAGGCTGGCTGCGCTTTCCACCGGCGCTCATAAAGAGAATCAAAACGCCTGCCCACGCCCTGTGCAGATGCTCACCTCGCGACGATGATGCAAACTGACCTGCAAGGAATTGAGACGTAATGCCAGGTGCTAGACATCGCCAGACAAGGACAAACGCCACAGGCAGGCAGACAGAGGCACCTAATTATGTCTGTGTGTAGGTAGGTGGGTCGGCAGCTAGGTAGGCATGTATGCCTAAATGCACGCATACATGTGTATGTATATCTAAAAAATGCATATATGTATCTTGATAATACTTTGCGACCATACAAGCATACGTACATACATGCTGCATGTTCTCCGTAAGGTCCAAATATCCGCTTGGAATTTCACAATTGTGCAGGCAGCGTGTCCCCGCCACCCGTGGTGCTCGGGGCTCTTGCGCCGTTGACTGCCAGGCATGTGTCCAGCCCAGCTTCTGCCTTCTGCTAGTCTCGTAGTTCGGAAGATAAAGTGAGTTGGCTGTCAAACTCGACCTCACACTGCATCTTGATCAGCTTGATGGTGTCTTGCCCTGGTGTTTCTTTGTTGGGACCGATGGGGGGCCTTAGTCCCAGAGCCGTCTGTTTCGCCGACAAGAAAACTAATCAACTGATCAAGCTGTAGCTGCAGCTGGACTGGCTTGGCTATGGGCTTCATCTTCGAAAGCCAGGAGACCCGGCTCTTTCGCTAGCAGAAGATTGAAGTATGCACAGCCACCTCATCGGACTTGTGGCTAAAGCATGGCAATCACACCCTGAATCAGACACTTCAGCCACTGGAAGCAGTGATAGAAGAGCCCTGCCGATGTGCTTGGCAGGGGAGGCCGGTTTCATGAAGGCCAGCAGATGATAAACGTCCGCTTCCCGGACTTGCTGTCCCGGCCTACAAGTGGCTCGTTTGCCGTGCTTCCGAACCTACATGGAACCCTGAGTCTGTACCGTTGCTGACTGAAGAGAAAGAGAAACATCGCAGCAACCCTTTAGCTCAGGAACAGAAAACCCAAGTAGAAAAGCGAACCCAGGCCTTGAATATTCGCTCCCAATACCCTGAGCACTAAGTGATGAACCTGAGCAAAGAAGATGCCGAAACCAAATCCCAAAGCCTAAAGCATACCAAGAGGCCCCAGAGTTGGTGATTCGAGACTCGATCCCGGCAAGCCACCGAAACAGATGTATAGCAACATATATAGTAACCATCACACAGTAACCTTTAAATAGTATTGCACCCTCATCGTTACGCTGCGAAAAAGCGACGGCTTCGAGATTTCCAGGCCTGGAGCCTCTTCCTTCGGGATGTCAACTCCCAGGGGGGTCTTCGATGCTAGAGTCGCAATTGGTCCGTCTACATGAGAGTTTCCGAAAATAGGGGACCCTAATAGAGCACCCTCTATAGTAGGATCCTTATTACAAGGACCCCAAAATAATTTTACCCCTGATTTTCGGAAACTCCCACATACTCCCATTGCCAGGTGCTCTTGCTTCGGTTTTTTGGGGGGAGCCTGAAGGTTCAGGACTCTTGGGGATTAGGGCCTTTTAAGGGCCTTGTTTGAGATTCTCAGCCTTTGTCTTGTTTTGTGTGTGTGTGTGTGTGCTGGGGTTGTGTTTTTTTGGCAATTGGGTTATCAGGCTGAGTCTCAGGAAAAGTATGGACGAATCTGTCGGATTTCTGCTGGAGGCGTAGTTCTCTTAGGCAGTGATTCGGGCTTTCGGTGCTTGCTCGGCGTCTCTGCACGATGACATCAGCTACACCTACAGGTGCTTTAATAGCGACTGGTACAGCCGTTTGATTGACAAGCGTACCTGCATCATCACTTGCCACTTATGGCCGGCGGGTAAGAAAAGTGGGGGACATTCAGTTCGGAGCTGCAGGCCTGGGTTTTGAAGGCCTGGGTCTTTCGGGCAGCTGAATTTGGTTCGGCTGTCTTGGGCCTCGACACTCATCGACCTTTGGGAGTTGTGCTTCCTGTAGTTGCTTAGATGCCTAATTGGGCTCTAGTCGTTTCGTTGGCACCTTGCTCCAAGTCCAAGTGCCTTCATAACACAGAAGCCTGAGTAATTGTCACTGTCCTTCCTGAGATTTCGTCACTATGATTTTAGGCAAATTTGCCCAACACCCTGTTCCATTTTTCGGGCCCCTCTTGCTATTGCCCGCAGCTGCTCCACCTCGAGCGGGCAGGGAGCTGTAGCTGTGCAGCCCCTCGTGGGCCGCACTCGTCGGTTGCTACAGTGCTGCTCCAGCAGCATTTCACGACATTGCCTGAAGCGCTAGGAACTTTCAGGATGCATTCCCAGTCACGATTGGAAGGAGTTGTCGAAGGTAGGCCAAGTTGGAAATGCTGTTGAGCTGTGCATCCCTTTCTTTCGAACATACCTCCATTGTTTTTGGTGCTTTGTTTGATCCGAAGCCTTTGAGGTTCCTCCCCCGTGCGGGGTGCAAGGTGCTCTGATGAGCACGGAGGATGAGCTCGCAAGCTTAGACGCTTCGAAAGCAGATTGCCCGTCGGCGCCGTTCAACTTGGGAGTTACACTATAAAAGGCACGTTATACGATATGTAGTGACAGGATGCGGCAGAAGGTACAAGAACCGGTGAGAGAAAGCTCCACATGAAGCTGCTTATGTTTCAATGCAAGTGTGTTCCTAGGCTTGGTTGAAGAAGGAGGGCAAGGGAGCATGATGTTAGAATGGGGACATACGAGAACTGACAGGTGTAGATGGAAACCCTCGTGGAAGGTTGGGGTCATATATCGTGTTTCACAGTTTCGCAGCAATCAATTCCACGAAACTCAACTTCCTTGTGCGCCTTCACTCACAAACTTAAAACCGTCAACTCCTGCTCTGCACTTGTTCAAACAGCACAACAAGAAAACCCTTTACCGAGAGCCAGTGTCGCGTGCCTAAACGGCTCAGGAGCGGGCTCTCCAGGAACTTGGCAGCGAGCCACGCTGGGCGTGGCCAGAGCAGCCGCGGGCCAGCGATAAATAGAAGCGCTGTTCCAATGCCTGCGACATCAACCTAGGGTGCTCGTACTTGCAGTCGTCGTTGCGTCGGCGCTGCAGTGCTGCTGTAATAGTACACAGTGGTGGGTAGTGGTAGTGTAGGTGGTATTTAATGGTAGTCGTAGTTGTAGTCGTGGTAGTGGTAGTCGTAGCAGTATACTATGTAGTAGTGGTAGTAGTAGTAGTAGTAGTAGTAGTAGTAGCAGTAGCAGTAGCAGTAGCAGCAGTAGCAGCAGTAGCAGTAGCAGTCGCAGTCGCAGTAGCAGTAGCAGTAGCAGTAGTTGTAGCAGTAGCAGTAGCAGTAGCAGTAGCAGTAGCAGCAAGCAGCAAGCAGCAGCTGTGGCAGTGGCCATAGCAGCAGAAGCAGCAGCCGTACATATCCGTCGTCGTCGCAGTGGAAGTGGTAGTGAGTCACTAATCGTCTTGGTCGTCGTTGTTGTGGGTTTAGGAGAACTGGCATTAGCAACCAGACATCAACCGCCAGAGCCTTCATTTCATTCGTTTCTAGCTGGTTCACCACAATATCGCTCCAAGGCAATTTGGCTATTTCTGTTGTTGGCACTGTTGACGGGTGTGCTTCTGACGCTACTCCTGTCTCCTGGTAGTTGCTCCTCGTGTCTGGGTTTGTCGTCACGGTGAAAGCTCATCGCCTTGAACCTTGAAGCATTGACTCTGAAGTCCTGCATCTCACGCTCAGGGCCAGTGCAGCCGACCCATCGGCGGGTGCTGCGACGGAGGCTGTCGTTCGTGCGGGGTGCGGGTTTGGGCTCAAGCTAGAAATTTCGAATGCTGCGATTGTTGAACCGCTGGCAATCTCCAATGTCGGGTTTCTTACGAGTCTATAAGTATTGGGTGTTGCTTTGAAGGAGCACCTGATGCCCTCCGAGTAGATTGCTCCGAGATGATATGTTGGGTCAGGCTGTTTTTGCGGTTTGGCACTTGTTCTCCCAACATCTTGGCGCGCTAAGGCCGACTCGTTTGACGATGGTTGATGTGACTACACACAAACACAAACCCCTACTGTACCATGTCGACAACAGCGACTAGTCCTGCCACCACGTCCGTGGCAACAACGACAATGACCACGACTGGCATCGCCTAAGCCCAGATGCAACAACTACAATTGGTACTCCTGCTGTCGCTCCTGCTCCTGCTCCTGCTCCTGCACCTGCTACTACTACTACTACTACTACTACCACTACTACTACTACTACTACTACTACTACTACTACTACTACTACTACTACTACTACTACTACTACTACTACTACTACTACTACTACTACTACTACTACTACTACTACTACTACTACTACTACTACTACTACTACTACTACTACTACTACTACTACTACTACTACTACTATATACTACTACTCGCTAGCGCAACTGCTGGTGTTAGCACTCCAACGGCTGCTGCTCCAACTCCTGCTCCTTGCTCTTTTGGACCTTCAGTTTCGTCCAAAATGTACCTTACTTGGGGCCCTATTTTCAATTCGTAGACCCCAAAAATGGTGTGGCAAGAGCAGAGCAAACACCGACTCGGAAAGGCCACACTGGCGCGGTGTCGGCAAGTCGCCCAAAATCTGCATCTTGCGGCCGGCAGCCACTCCAAGGCTACAGCAGCGCTGCAGCTGGTGAGGAGAAGCAGATTAGAAAGGATCAGTTGTACACGGGTCTCTCCCCCCCCCCCAATCCCTAGAATTCTAGCTGCTCCAACCCTCATGTCGAAGGAGGCACCTGGGTTGCGAGATGACGGTCGCCCGGCGCCTTGATGAGGTTCTCTCCGTGGAGGCCTGGTTCATGTTGGAGCTCAGAGCTGTCTCATCGCAGGGAACCGGGCAGCAGAAGCATCGCATACTATGAGCCCTCAACCCTTCACCTGTGCTGTTTGACAACATACCACTTTTCCAAATTGTTGCTCGGTGGACTCGTTGGTAAGAGCTACGAGATGGTGAATCGGTCACACCTCACACGAAAACGAGATTGCACTAATTACACGTTGCAACTGCGTCGCATGAGGGCAGCGACGATGTTCCCAATTTCTGCAGGGCATGCAACTCATGGCCTGAGATACGAACCGACATCGCCTTCGCTGATCCGTAGAGAGCAAAGACAGACAGCCTTCCTGCCCTGCAGGCGGGTTCAATTCTGGCCCGTGGCTGCCCGGCGAGCACTCTCTACATGTAGTTTAGGATTTGAGATTCGGGCGCCTGAGATGGAGATGTAGCCACAAGTCTTGGTACTTCATATTCATGTGACAAGAGACCCCCACGGAGACAACCAGCGAGATGCCAGAGTGTCCTTCCGATTCTGGGATTTCTGCTTCTTCTCTGTTTTCTGCGCCTATCTTAAGAAGATTCTGCCGTGTAGTGCAGTATCGGGCTATCTGTTTGCATGTGTCTGTTGAGTTTCCATTCTGCAGATATTCAACCGACCTTAGCACTGAATTCGCTGGAAACCCAGGGTCCGACACCTGCCAAAACGAAATCAGCAGTCACCTACTATGTTACTATACTATATCATGCTGCTTATATTTTACTATGTGTGTATGTATGTATGTATGTATGTATGTATGTATGTATGTATGTATGTATGTATGTATGTATGTGTATATGTGTATATATATAATGTATATTATACATTATGATATCATATTGTATTATAGCTAGTATCAACACTAGTGGCAGTAACACCGTTTCCATCTCGTTCAGCATAAGCAGCAAGCCCAACAACACATTTCAAGATCAAGTAATAAGGAGTAGTCAAGCATGACCAGTACCAGCACCGCACATTCGCTTGCCACAAAGACCCGTAATGGGTTTCGACAGTCTTTAGGCTTTCAGGCAAGTATGAACTGTTCCGTTCCTAACTGCAGTATAGTCGGATGGATACTTAGTGTTAGCACTACTGTCCCAACTGCGATGACCACAGATCTTTCGGACACGGAGAACACAAGTCGCGGGATGTACGCGTGAGTTAGGTCATGAGGCGGCAGATGAAGGCATGGCCGTCGTGAGCGACATGTGCTTTGGCACGTTGAGTTTAACGGGCCTCTTGCACGATCTGTCTTGAAACTGAAATGCGAAAGGGAACGCGGGGGTGCAAACTCCTGAGGATCAATGGCTTCCTTCAGATGGAGGCAGCTCGTGCAGAAGATCTGAGCAATCAGCCCAGCACCACAGCCGTGGAGCTCTCCTTCAACGCAAGGAATCTGGGAATCCTGTTGCTTCCGACGCTGCTCGAGTGCACACTAGCCGGCATCACCAAGTGCTGGGACTGTGACTGGGGTCTCCTGGGACGGCAACTCCAGCCTTTGCATGACCTGGTCTTGAAGAAGCCCCTGTTGGACCATGCAGCAATGGCCCTCTTACAGCTCATCTGGCTACGTGCCCCGATGCTCCTCCCAGGCGAGGCCGACGAGAAAGGGAAGGGAAGGCCCCAAGGATGGGTCCCCCAAGGACTGCCTATGGCAAAATGCATTTATGGTTTGGCCTGCAGCTGGACTAAAGATGTAGAATAGCCGCTTTCCAGTTTTTCTTCCGGAGGTGCTCCACCCAATCGCTCTGAAAGCTGTTGGTCAGCTCAGGCCTGTCCCAGGAGATCCACGACACCCTGGTGGTAGAGGGCATGGAGCAGGCAAATGCCCAGGAGATTCAGCCTCTTGGTAGTTTGTCACAACGCTTTTTTTTGTCGTGGGGCTTGTATGTTGCACAGTTGGTCCGAGGCGACAACAGTCTTCTCAACTCCTCAGACCCTCGTATCATACGTTACAGTTGCCAATGCAAGCAGCCGGGAGAGACCTTCTCTTAAGATAATCTACCGGCGGCCTTCAGCCCTGCCATCAAAATATCGGACTGTCATCCCGAAACTTGGTCTTATAACCTGCACGTGCGGATTCGTGCACCTCGCTGGACTTGAGCGTGAGAGCTTAGACACTAAAGCAACTCGCGAGAGCCCCTTCATATTTCGGAGCAAGGCACCTACCCTATCACTGTATCCCTGAACTTTTTTCAGGCTCATGGCTCACGTCCGACGGGAAGTGCTCCAGCATCTGGGCCAGTCGGGACGGTGGCAGCCTGAGCACGGTCCCTTGGCTATACATAACTAAGCATGCATACCTAGACCCTATTCGCAAGCTTATGAAGTTCCCCTAAATTCAAGTTAATTACATGTTGTAATGCAGGCGTATGGGGGCTTTGCAGCTGTTAAGGGTTTGTTCAGGCAGTACTAGAGGGCCAAGCAATGATATCAGCAGGACAACAAACGGCCCCAGGCACCTAGCAACTCGGTTGCTGATTCAGCTGCTTCACTGCTGCTGCGGGATTGGAACCTGCTCAATCCGCCTTGGCATAGTTACAGCCTGCGACCCAACGTCCCCGAGGCAAGCTGGAGTCCGGGCAGGTTGTCCCCGAGACGCCCCCCGTGTCCAAGAAGCGGCCGAGCACAAATCGTCAATCTTCGCCGAAGAAGAGGTTACCCACGATTTAGGGATGTCCAGCGGCCAGCGTCCGGTGCAAAGGGTTCTTACGATGGGTTTTAGGGTTTAGGGCCTCGTAAGAGCTCTATTCCTGGAAATTGCCGACTTCCTTGTCCTTCTCGACGTGTCTCTCCCTGTCCTTGCCTCTGAGTCCTGCCTGCGTCTCTGTGCCCATGGAGGCGCACGGCCAACCAGCAAATTGTACCAGTGGGAGCGCAGGAGAGTTGAAGGTGTTTGTGGAAGGCATATTTGATTCGTGCTTGCTTGTTTGCAGCTTCCGTGGGACGTTCATATTTGTCAGCCACAGTTCGAGTTCAAAGTCGAGTGAGAGATTTCAATCCAGGAGATTGAATCCTTCATGGCTGCCCTGTTGGACAAGTTCGGCTGCGAGCCGCTCGTGGGGTCCTTCATGGAGCGGGTCGAGATGCCTGGTCTGCTTCAGAGTCGAGAATTATAGTACAGTGGGGCTCACGAAAGATGAGCATTTACGCTGCCTGAAAGAACAGCAAGCCAATGCAAGGGGGTAGTACGAAGCTTTGCAGCACAAAAACCATCTGCTCGTGTTTTGACAAGGAAAGCAATGGCAGCGATGACTCTAGCAGCGACCAAGGGCTTCACCAAGGAGGCCTTCTGAAGGACTTGCTAATCTAGGACATTGCCGATCCTCCTCTTGTCCAACAAGATAGCAGTATGAGCAACTACTAGAGACGGCAGGTGAATTACATACTCGGCGCAGCAAGGGAACGCGTGTCTTGTTCCCGAGCCGTCGGGTCTGAAAACAGCAGGCCACGAGAGCCTTACTGTTGTTTCAGCAAGGCAAAGACAGCTCCCTGAAACTTTAAACTGCAAACCGTCAGTCCGTAACAGACACCATAGAGCCTGGTAAGCCATTAAAACGCACCGTGCAAATCGTACACTGCAGAAGAATTCCTAAATCGCAAACCTATGTTTAGTAAGTGGCTGGTGTGCACAGAACTCCTCTGACCCTAGCAACCCGGTTAATACAACTTCTATAGGGCTGGAACTGCACCTTCACCCAAAGTCAGCTTATCAATTAGGGTAGACCTCACTAAAGAAACCTGGTACGACACCGACAACGCGATGTGTAAGCTACGCCCTGAGCATGCATCTATCGTCACCCCACTCCCTCATGCCGGCCTGGAGGCAATCTTCGCATGTTAGGTCGCAGCGTCGCAGCCAGCTCAATTCAATGATAGGTTTCACCTCCAACCAACTTCGTGCCAAGAGCCTGGCTTTGTTCGACCGTGGGCGACGAAACCCGAAAAACTCGCGCATGGGAGTCTGAAGGCAAAACACCTTCAACCCCTGAGGCATGAACTCCTAAACCCTCGACTCTAAACCCATTTGGCTCAGGCCAAGGAGGCGTCAGATGCGGCGCTTGCAGCGGAAAAGATTGCAGATGTGATGCGGCCTGGATAAACATGCAGTGGTGGAGTGGGGGGGGGGGGGGGGGGGCGGTTCGCATAATTATGACTGTATGCCTATACTGTGCTATGCTATTGAAAGAGGAATCAGCAGCTCAGACATAGAAGCACAGCCAAATTTACCAGACAGGACTGGAAAACAAACATTTCGATGCCCAGAGTGATCGCAACGGCTGAGATGGTAGCTCAAGATAACTCATCAACGAAAATGACGGAGCCGAGAAGTGTAACAGTCAGAAGTAAGCTTAGAGTAAGCTCAATGTTTGGAGTCGGAGACCCTTCAGTGCTGCCGTTGTCGTTGTTATTGCTCCTGTTGTCGGTTCTGCAACATGTTAGTACTTGTTCCTGCCAGTTATAATTACAAATGATGTCTTTTGTGTTCAAGTTGTCCTTGTTTTTGCTGTTCGTGGTGGTGGTCGTCGTCGCCGCTGCTGCGGTGGCTGGGACGGCTAGGCACTTTCTCCACCCACAGATCTAACGACTGGGCGGGCGGAGTGAATCAATACTGCGTGGATTGGGTTTCCTGATGAGGATCATAGCATCATATAGTTTACCCGCAGATGCCATTCTAATCATGAAGACGCCTTGACAAGGGAGATTGAAGCTTTCAACCGAAGGATGAACTTCCAGATCCTGCTCGGTTTCGGAAAGGAGGCCAAGCAGGCTATCGTCGACCAACTGCCGCAGCTTGCAGCTTTGGCCCGATTCAGTCAGGATGGGGTGGTTTAGGGGTTTGTAACGGTTGATTGGGGTTAGGGCAGTGAAGGTTTTTGTGGAATCAGGCTACTGCGATGAGCAATCCGAATCAGTAATGCCGTGGCAGCATTGACAGGACGTTGGGCGGGGGTTGCGTGGCTGCTGTTCTTTCTACAAGAAACTCTCCTTTTTTGTACAAGCCCCCTAAATGCTGATTGTTTTGTGGGGTGGGCCTGACGCTCCGGCTTGGTGAGGTACGGCACTTGCTAGAGACCTCTTCGTGGCCGGATTGCTGGAGGCATGCCCTTTGCGACATGCTCGCAGCTTGGCCGTCAACAGTTCCCGGTCTTGGCTTGATGTTGGAAGCCCACGGCGACCTGTAGTGTAGTGTATTTGTTGGATGATTCCAGACTCAAGGCTTTGTAACGTCAACTAGTAACTAGTATGTTCGGAGGACCTTTGCAGTATGCTGCGTGCACGCGGACTTGTTGAGCTCCGAAAGTCCGGAGCAACTCTGAGATGCCTTGGTCTTCTCAAAACCAGGGTGATGGGTCCGAGCCCTCGCCCCCTTTGAATGTGACTAACGGAACAACTGCTTTTGCAGGGCTGTTTTCGACCTCTTCCGGCTAGCAGTTCCTGGCCTAAAAGCAAAGGAACCGCAACTCCGAAGCAGCACCGACAGATTGAGAAAGAAGGAAGCATCACCCGAAGGAGCTGGTGATTCACCAGAAGCTGGCCCGGGAGTCATCCGCCTCGCTCTGGGACCAGGCCTTTGGAAATTGATAAATTAGGAAACCAAGCACTGCATCAGCAAGAGGGAAGGGGTTTGCGATTTGAGTCACGCAAGCGCAGTGACAGGGTCGAAGGCCTTGTCCCGACAGACATAGTGGCAGATCACAGGCTTCAAGTATTTGGTTGGGCGATATAAGAGTATTGCTGGTAGGTTTTTCCGCCTTTTGTTAAGTTGAGCCGTGGGAGCATTTGCACACGAGCAGTTTCAATCACCAAGCAGTCAGTCTGCAGTAGCAGCAGCCGCAGCAGAGAGTAGTGGCTAGTTAGTAGCTGCAAGGCCCACCACCCGCCACCACCCACCACCCACCACCCACCACCCACCACCCACCACCACAACCACCACCACCACCCCGCAGCAGCAGCAGCAACAGCAACGACAACAACAACAACGCAATATCAATACAAATTTGACTCATCTTGACCACATCCAAGCAAACAGCAACAACAACAACAACAGTAGCGACAGCAAAAGCAGCAGCAGCAGCAGCAGCAGCAGCGGCAGCAGCAGCAGCAGCTGCAACAACGACCACAACAATCACAACCGCAACAACAACAGCAGCATCAGCAACAGCAACAGTATCGACAACAACATCAACAACAACACAACAAGAAAAGCATCAGCAACTGCAACGACAGCGACAGTGACATCGACAACGACAACGACAACGACAACAGCAGCAGCAGCAACAGCAACAGCAACAGCAACAGCAACAGCAACGGCAACAACAGCAGCACAACGAAGAAGAAGAAGCAGACAAATACTTTGCTTGTTGTCTTTATTTGTGATGATTTCTGGTGTTCGTTTCGAAGTTTTTCTCTGGAATGCCTCAAGAACTCGAGGTGTTTGTATGGTTGACGTTTCGAAAAGTGAAGCAACAAGAAGCGGCAACAAGGGCTTCACAGAGCAACCGGCAAGGTTTGAGAAGTAACGCAACAAAAGGAAACAAAAGACACAAGCCGCATTCGCATGGACGTCATCACCCCCCCCCCCCGCCCACCCCGCACATGCAAGTCTAAGCTGGCATGTGCAAACTGTCGAGAGTCGGCAAAAATACCGTAAAAACCGATGCGAAATGCGACACACACACACACACACACAGAGGAAGCCACAAACGAAGCAGAAGTCACAAGCTGCACTCGCATGGACGTCATAACCCTTCCCCCCCCTATGCCCCCCCAAACCCCGCACAGAGCTGAGAGACAAATGCAAATCTAAGCTGGCATGTGCAAGAAATCGAGGGTCGTCAAACACAAAATAAAAACCGATGCGAAATGCAAACACATAGGAAGACACAGAAAAAACGCTGCGAACTGCAGAGCTTAGCATGTTTTTGTACAGTGTAGCTCGCCGGCTGTCGCATTTTCTGCTAGAAAACACCGCTAAAAAAGGGCTGTGAAAACAAAACTCAAGTTCAGTTCCGGGAAAGCAAAGCGCCAAAACTCCAGTTTCAGCACATGCCAGCAAAGAAATTGCACCACCCGCACGGCGGCAGACGCATGCGCTGCCAACAACAACAGCAACAGCAGCGACTTCTACCGCAACAACACCAGCAAGAGCAATGTTGGCTTCAACTTCGATAGCAATCATAGCCAATAGCCGCAACCGCATCACCATAGACATCACCATCATCAATCACTACAGTGCATCTTCAGCGTCCCCGTCACCATCATAAGTGACGACCAGGACTAGTCAATGTGCGGCTCGAAAATGTTAGCAACATCGGAAGTGGAAGTGCGACTCCCCCGCTTGACTTTCGGTAGGTCGGGCAGAAATGGTTGGAGCATGCCAATGCCAGCCGTCCCAATCTCAGCCTCAGCCGGTGTGTGGGAATGTGGGTGTTGGGTTGGTTACCTGCGAAGCTCGGGGCTGTGGTGGAGTAGCACTTGTTGAAGTATATCGGGCCCCCTTGAAGTCGTCAGGCATACGGTGTTGCCGCGATGGGGTACGTGTGATCGCGTGTACCTTTTTGTTTCGCAGGTCATGGGTTTCTGCAAGCTTTCCATCCGCGTGGAATCCAGGATTTCAATTCCGAGGATCACCCGCAGGCTACACTCTGACATTCTGTCGCCGTATCCCATGCTCGAATAAATTGTTTTCTTGTTTTGATGTTGTTCCCTAGCATACATCCTCGACGACCGTGGCTTCACTTGTGCTCCATGCTTGGCCTGCTTCCGAGTAATTAGCCACCTCGACACAAAAGAGATGCTCAGCTCGTCCTCCATGTTACTCCACATATGCCTGGGTGTGTAGGGTTTCGTCTCAGAGTGCACGTGAGGCAACATCGGTCACAGCGGAATTGCGAGTGCTCCTTCTGTAAGGCCACGACTTGGCATCGTATGTGCTGGACATTTACGCGCATGTCGAATTCCCCCATGCGATATCCCATATTCCTTAAACACCAAGCCGGACAGAGTGCTCTCAGGACTGACGGCTGTGGGTAGTTTGGCGACGGTGCTGGCCGGTGTATTGACCCAGATGCCTGATGCGAAAGCCGCCGAAAGCCTCAAATGCAGCTGGCCTTTCCGAATCAGAATCTGTCTTGGAAGCGAGCGAGTCGTTTGTCTCGTACTTTGTTTTGTCAAAGGTCGTCCGAATGCATTTCTGGCTGCAGGCGACGAAATACAAGAAGTAGATCCGACGGGCCCGATGGGATGCTGTTGTGATTTGCCATCTGTGTCCTATCACCTTGCCAGCCTGATGACATGCAGATTTCTAGCAGAGATTGTGGGAGCTCAGGCATGGAGAACCTGCGATACTCCGCAGCTTCCTGTTTGATTTGCTTCCAGAAGGTGCTTCCCGACAGTGCCGCTGCAGAGGTAAGTCGATCTGTGTTGCGTGCGCTACACTATCTCTTTGTCTCTCTTGGCTTCCCTCCGGGTACATGTACTCATGGACTCACAGAAATGGCTGGAGCTGCACATTAAAACAGACGCAAACTATGCACGTGTGAGTATGTATGTAGTATATGTAGCAGTGTCATGTAGTGTGTGGACGATAGTGAGAGACGCGCAGGGCGTGCAACAGGGGATCGCCTGACCAGTTGCGTGGGCTTTTCTCAGCATCCGAGTACATGACTTGCTTTACCGCTTCCTACAGCAATCGGTATGGCGTATGTGGGTGGTTACTTCAGCCAAGCAAAGGTGCGTTCGCGGGTGCTTATGTCGACTTGTTCCTGCAAAGGTACAACTAAGCACTGGAGTTCATTGATGGAGTTCATGAGCGAAGCTTCGAGAGCATCTCCCAGCAGGGTATCAAAAAGAGCTCTGCGAAGCGGCCACTGAATACACTGAATAGACCACGTCGCCCCCGGCTCTTCCTAATTAGGATACAGATCACACATGCGTGCATAAATGGGCGTATGCATCCATACATGCAAACTGCTAGAAATCTTTTCACATTGTCATCTGTGCATTGTTAGCAGAAATGCAGCGGGCACAGTGTAAATGCATGCGCGCTCGCAAGCACGCATGCCCCGTTGACCTCGCCTGGCTGTGCACTGGCGAGATACATATTACTGGCACCGATTTGGATATGGTCCTTTTCCGTGCATGATCTCGTGTGCACAGGTGCATGTGCACATGCAGCTGCATGTGTTTTCGTAGTGTTTGTGTCGATTTGTCGCTCTTCATGAATTGCACAGTGTTCATGTGGATGTGCAGCACTCTCCCCGACTGCAGTCTTGGATCCGTCTACTGGTGTGTTCATGCGATGTTATATTTAGTAGCAGTGCAAGCATTGCAACCGGTGTGAGGGCATGCCTGTTTGCATTCATTCTGCGTTATGCAGTCCGGGCTTCAGATCTGGAAACACTATCTTGCGGCCCTTCACCAACCACTGCTGCTTCGGCGTGTGTAGGAACGGTGTAGAACCGTTGTTCCGCGCCCTGGTTCAATGGATATTAGTTATGCAGGCAGACCCTCAGAAGACCTTGGACGGCAAGCTCGCCTTTAGCGACATGAGTTCGGCCGAGGAGGCGACTTCGTTGAACACTGCGTTTCTAAATGGAGCGACCCATTACCTCGTTGCAGTTGCACATCCGGATTTTGTATCACTTCGTTGGCTGCTGTCCCAAAACACTGGTGCTTGCATAGCGTCATCTTGATTCTTGATGACCACTGCGTAGCAGTAACCCCATCACCACCCAGAACTTTCCCACTTTCTCCTCAGTGGAGTAGTTGCTCGTCAGGATTTGCCGCGAACTGTATCACGGCGCACCACCCATCTGAACAAGCGGCCGAGCCATTTTTTGGTCAAGGCCCCCCCTGCCCGCCCCTGCCCAGACACGTTAATTTGGGTACAGCCGGGTACAGCCATGTCGGAAGAGCTTCAGTTGCTTCCGGAGGAGAGCTCGAATGCCCCCAGCGTCCCAAAACTCGGTGTGAAGGTCCTTGCTGGCTTTGTCGGCGTCCTGGGTTGTGGCCTTGTGCTCGCAGCTTGTTTTTGGACTCACTCCTCCCGTCCTGAGATGCTTCCAAGAGGCTTGGCTCCGGGGAGAGAGTTGTATGATGTGAACTATTTCGAGCACGACGAAGGCAGTTATCTTTACAGCAGCGACCCAGAGGAAGAGAAGGTTGTGAAAACGACTTGTGTCATCGATACTGTCCAAGCCGCAGCATACATTGGTGAAGCTGTGACAAACATATACCGTGCAGAGATCTGTCCGGACGATGAGCCGCTTGGCTGCACAGCTCCAGTCGCGCATTCCATTACCGCGATCCTGTGGGTGATGTCCTTCATCACAAGCGCCACCTCTACTTGTGCAGAGACCATCAACTACGGAACCTCTTGTGCTGCAGCGATTCTGAGGGACCTGGCCACGGCTGGCTCCACCATATACGGCTTCGACGAGGACTGTTTCCTGACAAGGCCTTTCGTCAACAACAGAGTCTTCCAGCCGCCCCGTCCGAAATTCGTTTTGGACCATGGTCGGCGCTTGGGCCAAGCCCGTTCCGATGCTCATGCTGTGGGACTGTACAGAAACAAGTCTGCGGAGCTTCAACGTCTTCTGAAGGAGACCACTAGCAAGCACCCGGACCATGAGCATGCCGCACTGCCAAATGTTCTCTTTGATGCTTCTTCCCACGGACTTCCGAGGAGTGCCTTGGACTCCACATTCCAGAAGATCAAAGCCATTCACAGACATGGCAACCGCAAAACCGAGCGCAACTTTGCCCTTGCCAACTGTGTTTTCGACTCCGTGGATGCTGTTGGATGGCTGATGCGGGCCCTGCTCTCGATCAACGAGGCATCCCACTCATGTGATGACCCCAAGGTGTGCACAGTGGATGTGGTTTACGTCTTAGGCTCATTTGCTTACTGCGCGCAGATGCTCTCCTTGGCCTTCGTGGACTGTCCCCAATACGGAAAGAGGGAGGCCTTGTGTGGTGCCGACGTGACGGACGTAGTCGGCTCCATGGCCATTTTTGTTGCCTCGACAGTGCAGGCCGTGGCTTACTGCGACCTCGGTGCACGATGAGTCGAGCCTTTTTTTTGAGGGTGCAGCCTCGGAAAATTGCCGTGAGCACCCTGTTTTAAGGCCTTGCCCTTATTACAGCAACTGCCAGAAAGTTGGAACCAAACTCATCCGGATGCCTTGGTATAGGGTAGCCCAGCACCAATCATTGCAAATCCATATTCCAGCTTTCTGGAGGTCACTGCAAAGTTTAGATCTCGGACAACCCTATTTTCCTACAGCTTTGGAATTTTACCCTTTTGGTCGCATGTTTCGCAAGGCTCGTCTTGGCCATGCGGCTGAAAAGATATGATTTGTAATGACTTGTAAGTGTAAGCCAGGAAGGATCCTCAAACCCTACGGGCATGCCTCGGGAAGCTTCTTGAAGAAGTCTCGACCTGTAAGGGGAAAACTGGATCCAGCCTGTCGCATTTAGTTAATTCAGGTGGTTTTCCCTCGCACGGGGGCGATCTGCGGACACTGAATTACTCGGTCCCGCACGCCCCAGACTCTGCTATTCGCTTGGGCTGCATCCAGTGGCACGAAAAGTGAACCCTCTACAGTACGAAGTTTCAAACCCACTGCATCTAAACCAGGTAATTTGCCAGCACCCTAAACCCGAGTCGTCACAGACCGTGTGGGATTCCGTGGCTGCTGAGACTGTCGGCTCTGAGGGCACGAAAGGATCAAGTGAAGCAGGTCATGAGTTTTTGCGGGTTCGGCTTACAAGAAGCTAGACCAAACGCCCAGTGAAATTTCGCTTTCTGGATCGTGCAAAAAACCCGAGTCGTCACACACTCCCAAACCAAATGCAAGGACGAGGCACCGCGTTCCAGTCGACTTCGTCACTCCGACGAGACGCTTGGGCCCAAACACGGATGCATGGGCCCTAGAAGGGTCTCAGGGCAACTAGATTTTAATCGTGTTTGCGGCTTTGGTGTCGTGTGCGCACGTATCGATGAAGACAGCTATGCAGCATGCCAGCAGCACATGGAACATGTAGTCGAAACCTCCCAAAAGCACCACGCACGCATGCTGGAGTACCTCTACATGCATGTCTACATACGGCTGTGCCAGGAAGTACCCCATATTCTGTCATAGTCCCAAACCCCTAAAGGCTTTGTCCTTGCTAGGTAGGAGGGAAAAAAGACCTACCGTTGAGGGTATCGCAGGCATGAAGATTTGGGATCCTACCAAGCTGAGGTCCGACTCGAGGATCAGTATTCAGGTATTTTTCGTCCTGATATTAGTATGGGGACCTATAGAGTCTTATTTTGAAGACGATTCTTGTCATACTAATGATGATGATTACTATTGTTACAAAAGTCTCTGGTGAGGTGAGCCTGTGCTTTCAAATTGAAACTTACGGGAGAACTGAGCTGAGCAAGTGGGTTTACTGTCGCATTCTAGGGAATTTGCCGGGGTTGCCTAAATAGACCTACCGTGCCCGAGCTTCCAGCTAGGATGGCTCCATATCACCATGCCCTCGTTGCTATCGAAGGTTGCACCTTGACGCGAGCGACAGCAGTGAAGAGCCCTCCGGATTCGCATCCAGTGGTCAGGATTTCGGTTTCAAGCTATTCTTCGAGGCCAGCAAGGCCAGCATAGACGAAAAATCAGATGGTGTAAAATCCGGTCCAGATTGCCTCGCCAACAGGTCTGCCACATGCCGAGGGCTGAAGCAAAACAGCCATGAATGCCGGAACAACAACCGTCGCTATGCAAGTTTTCGCCGTCAGTCTATTTGGCGCACTCCCAACAACTCGAATCCCGACTAGTTACTGGGGACCACAAGGCACGGTACGGTGAAATTTTCGGGCGCACTTAACGACGAGCAGCAGTCCTGTTCCAACAGGCACGAGTCCTGTGCCCAGGATCGGGAGCGAGGATAGCTGCTCTCAGTCGGAGGGCGAGGGTGGCACCGACCTCGAGAGCTTCGAGGCTGTGGGGCTGCAGGGTTTTGTGCCAGAGCTTCTGTGGGCTTCTGCTAGTAGCTTTAGGGCTCTTGCTGCTCCCTGGGTGGGATGGTAGGCTTCAGGCCACTTGTCCTCATTTTTCGATTTTTCGGTTTGTTCTGACCGGGGGCGCCCGAGATGTCAACCACTGTTTGGCATTTGAGGCTTGCTGAGGCTGCGTTTCTTTTGGTTATCAAGACCCAACACATAGATCGTGACTGTCCGCAAAACCTCAGTCGTTGCGGTTTTGCGTTTGTTGGCTGGCCTGGCCAGCTATGACAGCTATGCTGCAGCCGAGTCATCCTGAAGGCTCTCGGTGTTCTGCTGCAAGGCATTGCACTTGCAACTGCACCTGGGGAAACCCGAAGCCATAAATCCTAAAACTAGGTGTCTCCTTGTAGGGCCCCTACGTGTGTTAGCGATGCTTCTTCGGTATGTTGTCTCACTCATCTGACCTCGAACCACATGCCTCGTCTGGATTGTCCGATTGGGAGCGTCGAAATCCTAAAAGCTTAACTAGACTGAACTGAACCTTCAATCAACCCAGATTGCAGAGCAGGACGATGCAGCAGAGTTCAACGATTGCGGCTTTCTGCTTGCGGACAGCCCACGGCTCTTCGGCCCTTTGATTTCGGGCTTCCGGATTGTAGCATGATTCCCTTTCTCTGAATTTCCAACCCTGCCTTAACATGGCACCACCGCAGCATTCGCAACAGTGTTGCGGCCGCAGAAGCAAATGCAACATTGCTAACATCAAGCACCTCAGGCCAACCGCCACCACAACACTGGTCGCTGCAATATGGTCAACAACGACGAGACCACAATAACACGTGCATAACATGCGCACGCATGCCGCTCATAAAGTAGATTTCACACTTGCCACGGACGTCTTGCATGTGGGCAACATTCAATACTGGACGGTGTCGTTGCGAGTGGAATTTGAATCGCTGAGTTGTCAAGTTATGTGAGGAAGCGGCAACGGTTCACCTCCGGCGCTGGCGCTTCCAGCTCTGCCACTTTTCATAAGGGGAAACCAGGTTTTGAGGTTGAGCAGTTCAGGGCTGCCAATCAGTCCCTGTCGGTTTTTGACCTCACTTTTGAGACAAATCGTCAGAGACAGAAAGAAAAGAGGCTTCCTGCTGCAAGTACGTGACTTCACTGAGGATCAGCCGACCAGCAGCATGCGACACAGGTCCAATCTCGTCCCTGACTCTCGCTTGCTACAGTTGGCCGGAGTTTTCTCTTCACCTGAAGGGGTTTGGGCTTTTGCATCGTTCGTTGCTCCATGGAGCAGTCTTCGTCCTTTACAAGAGCATACCAGCCTGCTTGAAGTGGAAACAAAGCACGTCGGCTGTGTAAAAGGAGCAAAGCGGCCGAAGGTTCATCATACGAGTCTGACTTTGAGGGCCCACATCGGGTTGACAGGCGGCAAGTTCCTGCCAAACGAACGAGGCACTGTAGGTTGGAGACCCGATCCGCAGGTTTGGAAGACTCGAGCTAAGGTTAAAAACCGGAAGATAATTGGACCAGGTCATGCTGCATGTTGCACTTTCAGCTCTCTCACGCTATCTCTTTCTCGCGACCTCGCATCGAGGATTGGAAGGAGCGTGTCAAAGAGATCTTGAAGAAGCTTCCGGCAGGTGCCCGGGCCTGCATTCTGTACACAATCACCAGACTTCGTTTTCAACAACTTGGAACAAGACGGCCGAACCATGCCGCCTAGGGCGGAATGATGTAGCCCTTCTTGGCATCGTCGTGCGATCCCCAACATACATGCATCATGGTCGTGGGTGATCCCAGGTCCAGAAAAATCGGACAAGCTCGGAGCCGACTCCGGAGGGAATGACCTGTCCTCTGACAAAGCCGTTCGGACCGACGAAGATCTTCAGCCTGACAAAGATCTCCCGCCAGACGCCGTGAAAGTTGACGCAAAGTGCGACCTTCAGCTTCAGGCCGTAAATGAAATCAGTGTGCAATGCTGATGATCAGCCTCTGCTCTCAGCGTGAAGCACCAAGGAGACAGCATGAAATGTATTGGGTGCCAAGACCATTCTTTCATGGGGCTCGCACGCGCTTGAACTCGCCGATGTGTTACATGAGTTTGTGCTTAGAGGTATGGGATGGTATGGGTACATGATGGCACATGCCTGCAGATAGAGACAGACATGCATGCATGCATACGCACACGCGTAGCAAGCTTGTACGTACGTCGTCTTGTTGTCCCATACGCGCGCGCACATACAAATACATACTGTACATAAATACACACACATTATATATATATATATATATTTATATTTATATTTATTTATGTAGTGTACGTATGTATTACATGCAGGCAGAAACACAGAACGGCGTGTGCTTGTGTGTATATATATATATATATGGAGATTACACATTCGTTTATGTATATTTCTACGTTGATATTTACGCACCAGCACACAATATGTATGTATGTATATATATATATATATATATATATATATATATATATATATTATGTATGCATGAGATTCAGCCAGAAACCGGATGGATGGATGGATGGACGGATGGATGGATGTCTGCTTGCATGTATGTATGTATGTATGTATGTGTATGTATGTAAACCAGGTAAGCACGGGACGAAGCATTCAATCATAGCTGCATGCATGTATGTGTACATATGTTTTTTATCGTGTGTGTAAGAACGAGCGCACACACGTATGGATGCATGGATGTAGGTACGTATGTATGTGATGTATGTATATATGTATGTATGATGTAGCGTTGCGCACGTGGTGTTTTGTGATGTTACGTAGGGATCTGTGGTTAATTAATATTCTATTGCTATGTAATATTCTGTAGGTTGGCAGGTAGGTAGGTAGGTGCAACTACAGCGTTATTCCGTCGATTCTTAGGGAGGCTCCATATCAAGGCTCTCTGCTTCTGCTCAGGGTTGCACAGTTGGCTCACGTAAAGTTCCGTAGATGGCATGTGTGGAGTAAGACAGAAACCTTCATCACCGCTTGTAGTAGCCTGTTACGGCCCCTGCACAGCATTACGCATCAGCACACTACACTACCCTCGCATGCTCGCGGAGGGCAAGACGCTGACGAAGGTGAAAAAAGCTCCGGTTGCTACCGGGGCCTTGCTTCGCGGGCTCGAACTTGGTACAAAGAGAAACGCACGTTTTCCAAGTATCACTTCTTGGTGGGTCTAATGTATTCGTTTGGCACAGAGCACCCCGAAGCCTCATCCAGACAGTTTCCGTTCTTCTACACAGTGATTACAGTGATTATTATCTAGCGGCTGGTGCCTGATTTGTGTTGCATCGGAGCCTTTTGGCGATGCTAAGCCATGAGGCTTCGGAATCCACGGTAGCAGCCGGGCATTCATTGCACACCGCATACAGAGAGACAGGATGTCAGGGGAGACGGGCAGTGACAGCAGCGGTGCACTGTTCGATGTTGTTGTTGTTTGGTATAGGAAGAATCTTTCGCCACACGTAGTGCCTTCGGTTGCCTAGCTCCGTCCTTCTTAGCCGTGTCTCCTGCCGGGACATCGGTCTCTCTAGCGTAGGTCCTGCTAGTAGGTCGTTTCTGTGGACAATGCCAAAGCAGGGAAAATTGCCAGCAACAGCTCGACGCATTCACTTCCGTTACTTTTCTTCGCGCACGTTTCAGCTGTGAAGGAGCAATGGTGGCGCTATGGTGCGAGCGATCTCAACATCTTAACAGTCAGCAATGAACACGGTCGTGACGAACCAAGACGATGACACCAATGCGGCTGCTAATTCCTTGATCTGAGACTACGCATCCCGGTAGGGACGACGGTCATACCTTCGCATTGCCCAACAGTCACAATCCAAGTGTTCTGGATGCTGCCAACTCTCGTCGCAACAGTGCAATGTCAAGCAGTAGTAAGTAACTAGCCGTCAGAGTCAATAACACTTTTTGGTCGACTCTGCGTGCGCAACATCTTTTAACACCACCCGGCACGTGCCGAAAGAAATCCCTAAATATTCGAACCTTTGGTGGTCACGGTCAGATGCGGTGGGTGATGCTGTGTGTATGGCATTACCTGATGCGCTGCACGCGCCACCGGGACGGTCCTCACGGTCATATTCACAGCGAAAGGCTTGCTACGTAGCATTTGCCGTCCCGTTTCAGCTTAACCCGCTAACCATCAGCGTCAGCAGCTACTGAGCCCGGCTTCCTGGAGTCTCGCACGTCACTGTTTGTTGATGGCTGCATGCCAAGCCCCGGCTTCAGGGCTCAGACCCGACTGAAATTCAGCGCTGCATTCAATACAGCCTTAACGGCATGGTGCTGGATTTCTGGATGGAGCGTAGTCTGATCGCCACATCCAAGGAATCAGTGGCGCCAGCTACTTGCTTAGCCTTGCCCGGGCCACAGAAAGACGTTCTACTCCTGCAATCGATGTTTGTCAGCTAGACATGTCTTGTGACAGTTTCGGGTTTACAGCCGCTCATACTCACCATTCATGCCCAAGACTTTCAACCTGAGAACTTGAATATTGGTTGGAAAGCCATCTACGTTTCGGTGAGACTTCAATTTCGAACACTCCCAAGAGCCGTATGCCCCCTTCAACAAGTTCATGGTGGCTTGTAGTGAAGGGGTGCTCTCCACAGAAGGCATGTGTATGCATTATATTTATATATATATATATACACATGTACATACCTATATATATATATATATGTATATACATATACATATATAAATATATATTTATATATTTATATTTGTGTTTATATGTCTTGAATTAATCCTTGCGGCCACGTCACCCACTGACCTAAATCGAGGTTGTTGCAGACGAGACGGAGGCGCCGCAGTTTTTCTTTGGGAGCAGACCTGGTGCTCGCTGCTAAGCTTGTGCACCAGGGGAATCAGCTGCTTGACGCCAACGTCTCGTTCATCATGGGTCCTTGGCACCCACAGGTGAAGCACCTGCTTGCAAGCAGTGTAGTGGGCTTCTGCAGTTCTGCAAGGTCTTCAGTCCCTTGTTTCTGTGCAACCTGCATTTGAAGGGAAGAAGGCCTCCCATATGGCGTCCCTATGCGAGCATGGTGCTTGTCATTGCGTGATGCTTGGGCGACAGGTTCGGCTTTTGTGGCATTCTCAAGGGATGTCGATGCTTCCGTGAATCTCCGAGTCCGAAGACCCAGTCCGTAGTAGTGGTGATGGGATCATTAAAGCTTCAGGGCACATGCAAAAGCAAGACATGCTTGGACTTCAGGGGAAGCTGCTGGCCCAAGGAAGTAGAGGCAATAACCTGTAGTGACCACCGGTTGCGCTCCTGCGCAGAAATCTTGGCGTTCTCGAGCAGCGAGCGTAGACCTATGTCGGGGCAACGCAGGTGCAGTCGTTCCTGCCGACCCTTGGCACCCACAGCGATGTGGTTGCACTGGGCACCGTCACGGCGGATGCAGGCTCGCTTTGTGGTTGAAGTCTTGCTTGATCAGCTCCCCGGATTTTTTCAAGCGCTACTTGTACCAGATGAGGGTGGCGGTTTTGTGCAAGGTGTTGAGATGAGTAGCACCCGACGGCTCTAGCTCGACCAGCCCCCAGGAGACGCGAGTATAAGCAGGGGGCGACCGTATAAGCAGGGGGCGACCTGACCAGCCTCGCAGAAGTCGATAGAAGTCACTATCGCTCTACAAGCATGGACTCCGCATGGTCAGGTGCTGCCAACTACTTCAACCTGTATGCTTTGCAGGCAGAGCTTGTACTCTCCACACTTCTGAGGACATGGGAGTTCCTGCGCTCATCGTCGTAGGAGCTTTAATCAGTGGACAACCTCAGGCAGCGAGGGGCGCCCATATGTGCCCGATTCTTTCAAGCTTCGCTCAGACGGCATACAACACGGTCAGACCTCAGCCTGAACCTTTCCACGTTTTATGCCCTCATCGAACCGTACCATTGGACCTCTGAGAGTCGCACGTGTCTGGCGTAGCCTAGCAACCCTATAGGAACGCATGTGGAGCCATTCGCCGATACTGAGATTTGCAGGACTCTTCCGCACGATGTGCCCTTCTCAGATGTGTGTTTGCATGGCGTCGTATGTTGCAGAGTACATATACACGCATATGTCTGTATGTATGTGGATGTTTATACATGCACACATACATAATAAATAAATAAATAAATATATATATATATATATATATAAATATAAATATATATATATATATAAATATATATATATATATATATATATATCGATAACAAGCCCGGCGTCTGTCCTCGAGACCTTGAGAGGAAAGTAGCCGCGCTGTTGATAGGCCACCTCTCGCCCGACGCCCACGCGTTATCTGCAATGCAGTCGTCGCCAGACTTGCCATGCGGGAGCCAAAATGCCGATAACAAACATAAAGTTGTGCCTTTACACATCTACATATGTACGTACCATCGCACATACGTCCATGCATGCATCCCATCCATCCTGCCATCCATGCGTATTTACTGCATGCATGTATACATACGTACATATTGCATGCACGTAAGCACGTACATATTGTGCATGCATACTTAAGACATGCATTCGCGCTTGTGTGTGTGTGTGCGCGCGTATGTACACATGCAGACGTACATGCGTTGATGTGTGTGTGTGTGTGTGTGTGTATGTGTGGGTGTCTGTTTGTCTGTCTGTCCGTCTGTCCGTCTGTCGGTGTCTGTCTATATATGTATATGTATGCACACATGCACATGTGTGTGTGTGTGTGCATTGGTTGTCATTTTGCCTTTGAGTTGCTGCTGCAGCTTTGCGGCTGGATGGGAACATTCAGCGCCACCAAGGTGACTCGTCTCGCAGTCTTGAGCGAAGAGGCTTTTGAGGCTGTCCGGGTGCCACATGCTTGCCAATGTTCGAGGTGTGCTGGAAGGTGTTATGTCAATGTTCCCTGTAAGATTCTCCTCCGAGCGACCTTGTCCAGCAATGATTGTGCAGCCAGCTGTAGCTGTTCTTTACAACTTCATGAAATCACTCAGCACCATGCCCCGGCCCCAACCCCGCACCCCCCGGCCAGCCCCCGTAGCAGCACCAAAAAGATCAGAAAGATCAGGGTGGCTGCCTCAATGCTTCCGCAGCTGCACACTATGGAAAGAGCCTGGTTCTTTCTGGAGCCCCTTGATCAATCTTGAAGGTAAGTCCATAATACGTCTCTGCTTTCGAATGTTATTTTGGCAAAGTTTGCCTCTTGGGTTTCTTGTGGAATGTGTGCACAACTAGTGAGTGAGTGTGTGTGTGTGTGTGTCCTTCGTGTAACCGCGGAATGCAGGAAGTGATGGGGATGCTTGACTGACTTGGGGTTTAGGCCTGTGGTTTTGGGCTTGCCGCATCGCACCTACGTTGCCCAAGTGCGAGACGACGAGCGGATATAATTGAGAACCATCTCGGATGTAAAGCGAGGTGTACCGAGCCAGAGTGTCAAGTTGATTCCTCCTTCGTTTAGTTTTAGTCAAGCTCAACTCGGGTTCAGATGTAAGTCGTCCTGGGCAAACTTCCGGTCGTACGCATGCAACTCAAGGTCGGAGATAATGTGGCCGTAAGTTCGTTTTTCCGAAGCGAGCTTGCAGCTTAGAGCAGGTCGTGCAACAAGCCCAAATCCCAACACTTTGAGCCCTTAAGACCCCACCGTATGCTCATGTGTGGACCATCAACCAGCCTACATGCAGACATTGCGTGTTGCGCAGCGGAAACTTTGATATCGCCAACACCTGGGTGGAAACAAACGATCCGCCACACTTGCTTGGATCCTGGGCTTCAGGGTCCGTGCCGGAGATGTTTATCAGAACCGCACGAACAAAAAGGCACATAATGTGAGGGCCTTAAGAATTACCTGTGCTATCTTGGGGGTTCCTTATTGTAACTCTAGTATAATGGGGCCCAAAACCTTATTCTAATTTTGCAGGCCCCTATGTTATGTTCTAACTTGCTCCGACACCCCCCCGGAATCCAGCGCTTACCTGCCTTTCGAGGCTCCATCCACCTCCGCCTCTACTATGGAAACCGCAGGGGTCGAGGCAGTCCTCCTTTGCGCCTCGGTTTGGCACTCCGGTTCCTAGTGACTCGGAAGATGCATGCCCTTTCTGATTTGAGCGTTTTGTGCCTTATAGAGAGAGAGAGAGAGAGAGAGAGAGAGAGAGAGAGAGAGAGAGAGAGAGAGATATAGATAGAGAGACACGAAAAACTTCAGAGGGCGGCGAGCCACGAAGGTTTGGAGTTGGATCTCTTGACCACATGAGGTTCTTGGGAGTTTGTTCTTGCGTTTGGAAGGGATTGAAGGGGATCGGGATGTGCGGGGCCCGGTGGCCTCTGGTCGGCACAAAGGCCTTGAAGAGGTGCCGAAGCAGTGGCGCTTATGGATGAAACAAAGATTCTTGGGTTCGGGCTCGGCTCTTGTGATGTTTTGGCGCATGCAGGTGGAACGAAGAATTGTCTGCCCACTCTTTTTTTGTTCGATGGTGTTCTGGGGGCGCAGAGATTTAGTGACCACTTGTCCTGAGTCTTATGGCACCTTGGCTCCGCTCTCGCTTGAGGGTTTTCGGGAGTAAGTTTGCATAATTCATCTGCCGGCTTGTCTTTGGTTTTCGATTTTTTAGTGTCCATGGGGATGTTCTGGCGAGATCTGTCGAACAGTGATGTTCAGACTCGTGCCGTTCACTGTGCCCCTCCGGCCCAAGCGAGAGAAGGGATGAGAGTGTAGTTTAGGTGCCTGAATAATTTAGTAGGGCTCCGCCTGCCCCTGAGGTTCTATACTTTTCTATACATATATACATACGTACGTACATGCATGCATCTGTTTTTGAAAGCCCCATATACATACATACATACATACATACATACATACATACATACATATATATATATATATTCACATTTATGAAGGCCTTAAATCAAAACGCCTGACACAATGGCTTTGTTAGTTAGCACAGTTACTTTGGCTTGGTATATTATTATGCCGCACTTAGAAATGGACTCTACGGAGATACAATCTATCCCGGCCACCATAGTCTCCTACATCAGAAGCTGCCAACGTAGCCAGGGTTGCTAAAACTGCTCGGCTGCTCAGTGAGCATCCCTGAATCAGGGATTACCGGTCCAACCAACCATGGAAGTCGCAGCAAGCTCCATTCATCCATCAATGCAGAGCCATGGCACTCGCACATGATATCTCGTGCGCGTCGAGCTTCAGCTCTGTTGCAGACGGGCGCTGCAAGGAGGCCGAGAAAAGAGAGGAACCAGAAGCTGGTGTGAGGGAAGCAAGTTGAGACGGTGCTGGACCTCCAACTTCAGGGTAACTACGGGGTTGACGAACCCTATACACTGGTTTGATGTGTCGTGACGGAGGTGTAGACAAACAGACAATGTCCAAGACCAAGAGTCTATCGTTGATAATCTGTCTTTGTAGCAGCTCATGTGCGACCCTTTGCAGAACTTTGCGCATCAACCGGTTGTACAGTACCTGATTGATGCCAGAGCACTCGCGGCAATATGTAGCTCTTGCAGATGTAGAACTTGCTACATCCACTGAGTCCGAGGGCTGCTGAAACCGCCGTTCGTCACGATGTGTAGCTCCAACTCATGTTTCGGAGCAGTGGCAGGCTCGACGGTCAAAACTGAGGTTCGTCATCGTGTAGATCTGATTATCGACGGTTCGTCGCGTGAGCGGACTGCGGAGTAGCAGTTGTCAGTTGGTCCTGACTGTTGGGCCGTGCTTCACGTAAATAATTGTCTTAAGCCTGCAAGGAGTGCGTAAAGGCAGTGGTCTTGGGTTTGAGGCCAGCAAAACGGGTTTAGGCTTACAGACGTTTGCTCTGTGCAGGCGGAGGTGAGCCCAGTTGAGATAGCAGCTGTGTGGCTACACAAGGCGGCGTGCAGGGCGTGGCTTCGCTGATAAGCACTTAGAAGGAAACGAAAATCTTGCCGTATACAGGAGGCAAGGATGGTACAGGGCGTGGCTGTCGCATGGAGGTTTCGGAGTCTTGTCATCTTGTCGTGACGACGGTTATAACGGGTTCGGTGTCCAAGCTGATTGCTGTTGATGTTATTTCTTCCATGAACACACTCGAGGCTAGTTCAGTTTCTGCAAATCAAAATCTCAGTCGCGACCAGGCGACGAAAGGCAGTGACAAATGGCTCGATGGCTGTTCGCGACGCCAGCTGCAGTACTACATGCTGCGGAGGAGCTGGCTGCACGTATTCTGCTGCTGAGTGGTGACAAGCGGTTGATCTGGGGTTGACTGAGGCATGAGGCATGCGCCATGCGCTGGTTAGTCTGTCCAGTGCCCTTGTTAATACTTGTAGCATCTTCCGATGCTGCAAACTCGCCAGGTGCTTCGGCTTTGTCTTGTCAGACTACATTTCGGATTAGCGCGATTCGAGCGTAGTCGGACTCTTATGTCTCCTCCGTTTCTTTCAGATGCCGACGTAGTTGTAGAGATGCGAACACACAGCATGCACGCGCATATGTGCATGTACAGTTGAAAGATAGCTTCCAGGAAGCTCCGGCCATTGACGATGGCTGTGAAGCACATCTACTTGTTGCTAGCCATCTTTGAGGACACCTTGCTGCTGTTTGCGAATCCTTTCCGGGTTCCGGAACTACGAGCATCGTTGCACGGAACCTTGAATAGTAGGATCTTTGGCTGACGCAACCCTGAACGAGGTCAAGTGCGAAGCAATCGCGGCTTGAAAGGGTCCATCACATCAGCAAGGCTGGGAACAAGCTCCTGTTTCAGGAGCCCTCCTGGTGCTTGGCAGAGAGTTCTGATGCTGAGGATGGCGTGTGCGCCTTGGCCGTACACTCGCCCGCTGCAGCATGAAGCCTGCAATGCTGGCTTCAAACCCCCCATACCGTATACACTGCCCTTACACGTTTCCCCAGTGGGAGAAGTCGAAGTCTGCAGCAGGTCTTGACAAACCTGGGCTCTACAGCTGGAACTTGCACATCTTGCCAAAGCACGCAGGGGTCTCAGCTTGCACATGCATACTTCCTCCCACAAGATTCATGTAGGCCTCCTCCCTCGATACGCTCGCACTTCCCTGTACCAGGTATCGAACAGCATCGAACTTCTCTGCCTGTGTTACTTGGTGATGGCATTCTGGATGCGCAGCCAGTCAGGCCCACGGTGCCTGCTGCATGAGTATGAAGTTGGTACATACATGCCCAGACATGTTGATACAAAATGCTGCTGAGTTTGCGCATAGAAAGAAATAGCGGCCCACCAGTCCAAGGACCACATACGTAGGCAATAACGGCCATGTTGAAAAACGTTAGTTCGCAGCAAGTAATGCTGTGCACTGGCACTGGAATTGAACGGAATGGCATGCAATGCGGTGCATTGTAGATGTATTCGCAGTTGTTTCCAAGCATATTGTGCTTACACGCCTGTCTCCACATGCGCTTTATGCTGCAATGTCGCTGGTCTTTTCAGCAAATGTGTATGCGGCTCCCCAGCTTTATGAGCCGAAGACATCTCAAGCTAGCATTCCAAACGTGCCCTTAGACGCCCAAGCCCTCCGATGTCGCAGGAACAGTTAGGTTGAGGGCTTACAAGACATAGCAGAAAACTCTCAGGGACATTGTCCCCTGGGACGTTCAGCATGCGTTCAGCAGTTAGCTCGGGGCTTCAATAATCGGAGACGGCTCTACCGTTCTTGCAGAGGAGATGGCCCCTTTCGCAGATGGTGGCATCTGGTGCGCAAGGCACACCATGCAAAACCATCTGCGACGATCTGGTTTGAATGTAAAATGTCTAAAGCCATCGCCTTTGTTTGCTTCTACTCTCCCCGGAAGCCTCGCCAGGTACTCGTGAGCATCGCCATTGCAGACTGCATCGCGGCCATGTTCCTCAGATTAACCCACACTCTGTCCAACATCCGTAGCCTAGTGGCATGAGGGCCTTGTTTTCCTACTGAATCTCTTGAATTGGCCCTGGCCGATGCACCTTGACTGATGGTTTCTGCTTTGGGCTGCGTACAACGAAGGGGGAAGGAGGGTAAGTGGTTCGGCTCAATCGGCTTAAGCCATGCTGGCTGCTCAGACTCCGTCAGTAATTATGCTGCAAAGCCCGTAAGTCATGGCATCACCTCCGTCCGGAAAGTTGGGCCTGTGTTGTACCCTGTTACAGACAGGTACTTGCTTATAAGCCACCAGTTTTGGTCGAATGGACTACTGACATGACCCGAACAGTCGCGAACAAAAGCGTAACCCCGAAACATCCCGAAGTGAACCACGAAATCCGAGCCCATCAACATGGCAATCGCAAATTTTATCGCGTTGGTTTTACATGCCTCGCGGCCGCATCGTACTTACTCCCAAGACCAACAGCCAGGTAACAAACGGCCACCAAATTTCTCATGCTCAGCTCATACATGTTTGAAGCATCGTAATGTAGTGGCCACTTTCACCTATCATCATGCATGGATTGTTAAGAAGTATGACAGTGACAGCGGGTGCAGAAGCCAAGCAGCATCCATCAAGCAGCAAACATTCCGTGTAAGCGCACGCATCTATCATCATCACCATATATATATATATATATATATATATATATATATGTAAAAAGATAATAGCATATGTGTATATACATATATGACACTGTACAACGCTGCCATATATCTATAGTCATATACATATACATGCACACACATGTACATATACATATGCAATCATATACATATGCATATACACACGCATGGGTGCGCCCCGGGTCCTCCCTCACCCCATCATTATCCCCCTAGGTGGTCTCGCCCTGTGGAACGGCTTGGGCCTTGAGCTTGCGTGCTGCGCACAACATGGAGTACATATAGCAACGCGAGAGGGGACATATATATATATATATATTTATATGTATATAAATATAATATATATATATATGTATATATATATATACATACATACATACATGTCAAAATATGCTACGTTGTTCTAGGCTAGCTCAGCGCATGTCATGTATGGCTATGCTCAACTATGGTATGTTACGACATGTTCATGTTAGATTGCAGCGATATGTGTTTGACATTATGTGTTATGATGCTTATACTGTATTCTATGGAACTGTATCGTATCGAATTGCATTATCTTTCAACATAGTGGCTGTATTGTGTATGGATGTTTATGGTATGCTATGTTCTCCTCTATGATACTGTAGCAACTCTAGTATAGTACAGAAGAGGCTAGATTAGAGTATGTCTTAGTTACATACTACGAAAAGCATCGAATCATATTATATGACAGCACATCATCTTATTGAATGGTAGACACAGTACAACTGATATCAACTGACCGCTGCTACGATATACTAGATCAGATCATGCCATGCTGTCTGATGCGATGTTAACAGACTTAGCTATATCATAAATGCTTCATGGCATGGGTTAGAGTGTTTCCATCCACAGACCTATACAGCAATATAGCCTGGTACACCATGTTTGTGTTTATGAATGCGTGTTGCATCGCATGGCCTTGTGAACGCTATTGTTGACATTGCAGTATCATGTGCCTTATACCAGAGACACCTTGCGACATCTCTGCACGGTACCTGCTGTATACTCTGCACTCTATACTACACACGATATACTTGATTACGTTTCGTATGTTGTCAAAAAGCCACAGAACTTGCAACCCCAAGGTTCCGACGGGATGGCCTCGTCCCTGGCACCTTTCGGGTGAGCAGATTCTGAGCTGCCAGCTTGCTTTGGGTTCTAGCATGCCGCGTTTACATTACCCAATTATACCCCCATAGCCTCCCTCCCGGGTCATAACGCCACCCCTTCCCGTCGGGGCGTCTATGCATCATCCACGAGCATACGATTCCAATCTATCCTTTTTCTTACCGAGCAGACATATCAGGACATATGCTGGTGCTGAAAGCTGGTCGAAGAGGGCTTTACTTCAACTAGCTCAATTCTTGTGACTCCTTGCCTAAGGACTTTGTCGGCCGCTGTTGCTTGGCAATCGTCAGAAAAATCCCTGCCAACGTAACGCCAGCTGAAACAGCCGAACGACAAACGAATCAGGGTTTGGGTTTCGAGCTTCGACTTTGTAGCCAGGCATAGAGGTGTTTGCGTGGACCTGTCCTGAAGCAACAACAATTATCAGCACGCAATCGTCTACTGCCTGTCTTAGCCGCCGCCAGGATCTATGTCTCCAGCCGGAAGTCAGTCCGCTCCACCATCAGCCGGCTGTGGCTTGCGTTTCTGGATTTCTGGGAGGTCCTGGCGGCGCTGGCAGCTACTCGTGCCAAAAACATTGGCCGTGTGCCGCGTACATGAGCAATCGACAAATAGGCCACGACTCGACCATGGAGCAACAGCACTGACACGTAGTGACACATCGTTTTGACACTCGTGGTAGCAGTAGTGTTTTGGGGTCGTGCAGTGAGCTGCTGGTTCCTGCGAGGTGCCAGCATCCATGAAACAGCTAGTACCTGGCTTATCACCTATGACGCCCAAACTCTTTGCGGCTCCCAGGACGTGCGCGTAAACATAGGCCTTGCTCGAGGGATTTTGGTCCACCCCGGAGCCATGGCGAGCACAGAAGGGCGATACTACGAGGCTGAGTTTCCCGAGCTGGAGGAGATTGTGGTCGTGCAGGTGAAGCGCATCGTTGACATGGGCTCCTACGTCTCCCTGCTCGAGTATGACAATCATGAGGGCATGCTCCTGAACAGCGAGCTTTCCAAGAGGCGGATTCGATCCTTAGCAAAGCTCGTGAAGGTTGGGAAAACCGAAATCTGCATGGTCCTGCGCGTAGACCAGGAGAAGGGCTACGTGGACTTGTCAAAGCGACGAGTGGAGCCCGAGGATGCAACGGCCAAGGAGGAGTCCTTTGCCAAAGCCAAGGCGGTGCATGGCATCATGAGGCCACGGGACAACTGCAAGAACAACCCCGAAGTAGTATAAAGCAGTAGGGTCCGCATCAAGCCCCCTGCAGGAACTAGAGCCTTGTATCAATCAGACTCCTACAACTTAGAGCAGCCAACATGCGATTTTGGTTTTTCGATATCAGCACGCGGGCTTGAGGGCATTGGGCTTCCTTACAGCCTGCGAGCATCCCTGCCATTCGACAGGCACGTAGCGCAGACGCACCAGATCCCGGTGAACGAGCTGTGCTGCAAGGCTTCCTGGCCACTTTACAAGAAGTACAACAATGCCTTCGAGGCTTACAAGAAGCTCCTTGCCTGTCTCTCTGAAGTTTGCAGTAGGATGGCTCTCCAGGCTCAGGAGGCGGCGGAAGATCATGGCAAGCGAAGGGCTGATGTTTTCTCCGGGTTCTGAAAGGTCAGGATATCGGCTTGACAGTTACCGCTCGCATTCCATGTTAAACACAAGAAAGCTTCTCCTACTATGTGATATGTCCTCTTGAAACGATGTACAGTACGCCATCATGGGAGATGGCAAGGTAGGACGTCAGAGATGTTCTCCGCCGCCCGAGGCACATCAACCAGGAGATCGACCTGTGGTCGGAGATCGACTTCAGCCAACCAGGTGGGAAAATCAGGGGTACTTTATTTTGGGTGCTATATATTAGGGTCCCCTATTTTCAGAAACCCCCAGGTATGGACCTCACACACCTGGCGGACAAGATCAAGGACCGCTCACAAGATCTCGCAAGATCCAGCTATAGACCCCCTGTCAAGCCTGAATGCTGAGAATCCTCGACCGGGTAAGGCTGGATGTTTATGCATTATGTCAGGCGGTTGTCCCCTCAAAAAGCTTTAAATTCGACTCTCTAGGTGGGTCTGCGAAACAGCGTCATGCATGGTACTGCCTCTACCGAATGACAGCCGCCAGACCTTCAGAAACGAAAGGATAAAGATCAAAAGCTCTGTGAAGGCAGAGCTGATACCATCATCGCCACGGCGCGCCCGAAGCAGCCAGTGTCGGAACGAGTAAGGTCTGGTCGGCAGGATGCATTAATTAAAGGAGCTGGTCTTTCCGTGCCATGCACCATGATGGAGTAGGGTTTCGAGCTGGGTTCCTGGCGTCTCCCTGTCCAAGCCTTACCACCTCAACCGGACTTGTGATTTTTGGTTTCTGTCTGCGGCTTGTTGTAACCCGAGCTCTGTCCCAGGAGGATATCGAGACCAACCTCAAGAGAAGGTTGATCCAAGCCACGATCCGACTCCGAGCCAAAATT